GTTCACATTTCTTTCTAGCAGCACTTAATATAAAAAGAAGTTAAATGTTCAAATGTTTCAATCATATATAGAAGAACCAAACATAGAAGCACTGAATAACTATTGAAATATCTGGTGAAGTGAAGAAATTCCAGAAGTTATTTTCATTTCACTCACAGGTATATTTTCATGTATGAGGAACCGTTCAAGTTGAGCCAATAAATCCTTGATCATCCCCTCTCCATTATTCGGACATCTAGTACCCTCGTTTTTCAGGCCATCCAAGCCAAGAATCTTTGGAAGCAAAAACAGCAGACCTCCCAGACGCTTTTTTTGAGATATACATTCTGCACAAGACCAAAAAGATATCCCAGTTACCAACAGAGGAGAAGGAAGAGCGGGAATAGTATACCGACACTTCTCATAGTACACATATGTAAGATCACACAATCTTCTCACTGACAAAAACAGGCAGGATTTCTGAAATGTAAAATGTTACAAAGTAAGAAATGTAAATTCATTCAATCCTTTACAGTCGAGTAAATGAATTAGCTGCTTTTGCTCGGTGAATAAGAAGAAATCCTCAAATTCTTCTTTCACTCTTTCTTTCACAAGGCAAAGCTGCTGGATGAAAATCTCTTTCCCCTAACCTCTATTTCCTGACTTTATTGAAGGAGGTAAAGCTATTTGAAGAACCTTTCTTTATCGTTGATAAAATGAATAGTGTTTAAAATCAATCAAAGTCTACAATCATACCCTTCATTCTTCAAGTACATGATAAATTAGATTAACACTGTTCTGCAAGTCTACAAGCACAGAATTGTTTGATAATAGAAAGAAGAATCGAACCTTCCAAATTTGGCATATTGTAAAAGAAATACACAAAGAGCAAACTTCTTTAACTTGTTCCGTAATTAAAGCCCGGTCGTCAAGGAAACTTCCCCCAATGAAACTTTATGTGGAATTTCAAAAAGAACCCAAATGAAGTAGCAACAATCAAAAACTGAATCTATGAGAGTAATTCAATCCGCCAACAGTTAAAAACAGTTCAGAACTGCTCTACTGAAATCTCCACATTTTAACGATATACAAGCGTCGTATTCATGCTCCACCAGCTAAGAAAGTGCGAGAATGACAAGTGTTAAAAAAAAAAAAAAAAAAAAAAAA